AACCGCCTTGTTGAAGTTATTCAGCTGCCGAGGAAAGAGAAGTGGGGACGTGGAAGTCGCAAGTTCTCGTAACACGGTTAGCCTTGTCCCCCCCTTTCCCCTCGCAACTCGCTATTTAAAAAATGACCCAATCAGTTGTCTTTACAATTCTCAGTGATGATAGAGTGGATGACGCCCTTCTTTGCCGCCTTTGCTGCGAGGATCTCCCAAACGATGTTACAGAAGCTTTTTCGTTCTTCTGCTTAACTTAAATTCTCAACCTTGATAAAAAATGGTTGAGTAGAGCTACTTAGCTTTACTCGATTCTGCCCAGAGCTTAGCTGGGCTTAAGAGATGTACCTTGCGTTTGCGCCACTCTCTTTGATTCACTATGGTATTCAGCATGAATAGCTTTGGCTTCGCCAGGAGCTTTCAGGACAATTTCGCTTAACAAGGAAATGTTAGCGCTGGGGTTTGGGTGCTGAAGGGTTGGTTCTCTGTGAGCCACAGTTTCCCCACTGTTTGCAAAGCAAAACATCACGTTGTGGAAGACACTTGCAGAATACGAACCAACCCACCCCCTCCCTCCCCTCCGCTAACTTCTTTCTGTGTTACTGCTCCGTTCCCATTCTCCCCAAAACCTTCCCAACTTTTCCAGAACGCGGGTTGAACGAGGGGGGGAGGAGCGAGAAAGGCTGGCACCTGTGATCAACTAGTCAGAACCTAGCCTTGCACCGTACCCTAACCAGGGTAAGGAGTAGGATAAGTGGCGCGCGAGCGAAACGGAGTAATCCAACAACTATGAGACTTTCTTTCGCATGGCAAAATGCCCCCTCCTGTGTTTAACACAGCGGGTGGTGAGCTCTGATGACGCTAGGTACTTGTAGAAGTTACCAGTGTTTTGCTGCTTTGCAGAACTGAGAATTCTGTCAATACGTTGTGCTGTCTCCACATGGCTTTGTTGTCTGCGAATAAATGATTCAGAAATGAATTACTATGGACGGGTGGCTCGATACGAAAACAATGGCATGTGCCCATCAAGGCACGGCTATTCAGCATGGTTGAAGTTAACTACTCAGCTACGAATGGCACGAATGGGACTGCCACACATCTGGCTAGCTGTGTAATTAAATGCTTCCAAGGGGAAAGCTGCAAGCTACGATTGACGAGAGAATAGTCGGGCCTAGAATTACCCTCTGAAGGTACATTATACCTTAACTGGTACCGCTGATGCATGGGCCGTTATCTACGCATGAAGGATAAGACGTGTTAAAAGTATGTACTTATGGAATTGTTACCTTGCCTCGAAGAAAAAAATGGAGAAAACGCTGAAAGTATACCCTTTCATAATTGGGGAATTGTTAAAAATACACTTGCGAGTTTTTGTTACCCCTCTCAAAGGCATGGGATACTTGAAAGGACATTCAAGTGTACTCTCACAATGGCAGAAGTCCCAGGAAGCATTTTTTTTTCATTTCACAGAGGTCATTCAGAAATCAATGAGATGTAAATGGCTTCCGCTTTT